TATATATATATATATATATATATATATATATATATATATATATATATATATATATTCACTTAAGTAACAACGAATTTAAAATTTTATTTTAAAATTTTGATCAAAGTTCCATTTTGAAAAGTGAATGTATTTACATACACAAAATAACATAAAAATAAATATATAAATTTTTGATATATATATATATATATATATATATATATATTAAAAATAACCAAAATACCTTTGAAAAATACTATAGACCGAACAAATTGATCATTTGCCACTGATCAACGATCAATTTTGATCATTGACCATTTATTTTCTTTTAATTTGGATTCTAAATTTGATGGGTTCAAATCGAAATCGAACCGTCCAAGCTCAATTCTGATTCAGTGCTGAACCAACTGCGAGGCCGTTTCGATTTGGATTTGGATTTGGATTCGGATTGAACACTGATCATGCCTACTAACTGACCACATTCTACTAGTAAACCACATGCTATAAGAAAAAAATAAACTGTATATAATTGGTCAATTCCATTAGTAACATAGTTATTGATGCTTTAAATTTTATCATGAATTCCAAAAACCAAAAAAGTAGGCACTTTGTATATCTGTATTCCTACAATAAAAACAAGCACAGTTGTTTGCTTATTTGGTGCAGTCTAATTTGCATCATAGCAAAGCCTTTGGTCTTAGCAATTGGTCTATTGGATTATAGTTGTGGATTTCAGTGACAAATACCATGATAACAAAACATCAGACAGTCCAAATTCAGATCCAGAATTGTTAATTTCAAAAGAAGATAAAGGAACTCAAATATTACACAAAAAGGAGAAACCATTAAGCAAACATCAACATTACCTAAGTTGAACAGCAACCAAGTTTCTTCTGTGTAGAAGCATCATCTTTCACATTTATTCTCTCACCTTTACTAGGAACAGAAGAAGATGCTGCATCATCACCTGCCTCGACTGCTCTCTTGCTGACAATTCGGTAAATCTGACTCAGGACTTCTGCAAATGCATTGTCTACATTTGTTGCTTCCAGTGCAGATGTTTCCATAAAATATAAGGATTCTCTCTCCGCATAACCCTTGCCATCTTCAGTTGGAACAGCAACAAGGTGACGGAGATCTGACTTGTTCCCGATCAGCATGACAACTATGTTAGGATCCGTGTGGTCCTTCAGCTCCCTCAGCCAACGCGAAACATTCTCAAATGTGGCGCGCCTAGTGACATCATAAACAAGCAATGCACCCACGGCTCCACGGTAGTAAGCACTTGTTATGGCACGGTACCTGCAATTTTATGTCAGATTAACCAACATGAATTGCAAAAGATTTCAGCTAGAATTGCACCAATTACCACAGGACATATGGCTCTCAGCTTATGTCAGATCAGACAGTTTCAAGTGCCATGGTATTATTCTCAGGTTATATCATAGCATCCATCTACAAAATTTTTGCATGTCAATATTTTACCACATTGTGACCGGTGGTAGTTTACACATTCATGTATCTTTTTTATCTTCTGTGCAAAATTTAGTACAAGTAAAGTCATAATTAGGCTTACCATGAGTTGAACAACTGAATCTACCTAACTGACAAGCACATTTTGGAGAAAAGCTTAATGATATACTCTTCTCGTAGTTTCGCAAGTGAAAGGCGTAAGCTTCAATAAATACATCATACGCTAGCAGAGAAAAGAACTTGACTTCCCCAGTGAAGATTTCATGATTCAAAAGCAAGTTTTATCAGGTTATGGCAAAAAACAAATCATTTTAACATTATTCTATAATCTTGATAAAGGATTGCAATTTGCAGTATTCCGACAAAGCTCTGTAATTTGAAAGCATACAACTGCCAACTATGAACATGAATGATATTGTTAGATATTTGCTCCTACACGATGCTACAGAGAGAGGGCCGTTGACAATAGTAGACTGGTGATGAGAAAATGGAATCCTTTTAATCCTAGTCTAAATCTTAGAAGACACTAAACTTAAATTTAGCATATTCTGACACATCGATATCATCAGAGAAGGCGAAGGATTTCTCTGATAGACAAAAGGCAAAGCAACTAAATGCTTAAATCTGGATACAAAGGTTAGAGTACCTTGCTTGAAATAAGAATCTTCCTATGTTGGGAAGAAAAAAAAGAAATATACTATCATATAAAAACACAATAGTTAACTTTATGAAACAACATAAAAGAAACTCCATTATCCATGAAGATCTTCACCGAAGAAGTGGTCATGAAGTCAATATGACCAAGTACACTCAACAATGCTCTAAGGACAAACATGTTGCCACCTTTATCACATTATAAACATGTTAACATTGAGGACAAAAGCAATTGAAAGAGATGAATAATTGAATGTCCATTTTGTAGAAAGCCTAGTAGATGCCAGACATCATGTATAAACCAATATTAGAAGAACACCGAAAACTGATTGCAGTTTTCTTATATCAGACTATTTAGTATTTAAATATTTTCATACTGTTTAATTGATTGTGTGTTGCCTGTTTATTCCAAGACTTTGCTTTGCTCCTCTAAAAGTGTAATCCTCTGGACATTCCACTTTCATTCTCCTAATATTTGGTGCTCATTTCAAGACTCTAGGAGGGACCGCCACATCTTTTTTTCTTAAATTTGATATACTGGACCACAGTCAGAGTCTACAGAAAATATAAAATTATTACCTTGTTAAAATTATATTTATGCAACTGTCTCATACCTCTAATTTCTCATATTCTGCTTCCGAATGAACCACATGGATACTCACTCGATAAAGAACTACTAATTGCTAGACACGTATACATTCATTTTATCCTACTCTCTGGAAGCCCAGTACTGGCTTTCCTGTAAGCCTCTTTGGATAGAGAAGCTATTAAGGCCAGAAAGAGCTTAAGAACAGTGCTGCCCAATTCAATTTGCAATTCCGATCCTCCAATTCAGGGTTCTTAAAGGTAAGTGACCTAACTTCTTAGTCTTTTAAGGACAGAGTACTAAACTGATGCAAACTCCAACTTCACTGTTTCTAGAATAAAAAACGCTTTTAGTGACTATACTGGTAATCTTAATCCTTTAGGGACATTGTTCCTTTTGTTCGATTCTCTTATGAGGAGCTTCCAAAGATTAAGCTCATCCGACCAATAAGATTTAAAAGCATCTAAACAAGCCCTTCATTTGTGGTGATGCCATTTAAAATGGCTGCGCAAGCTTATGTATGTAGGCATGATTGACAAGGCATGAATTATTTGCTTTCAAATTCTTTATCAGTAGTAAAAAAAATAAAAACAGAAACAGATAGGAAATAATAATCTCTATCAAGGAAAAAAACAAAAAACCAAAATCAAATCAATTCCACATGGAATAGATCGCCTATGGGGGTTTTCTTTGATCCACCCCTAAAGACCTAAGTAATCCCTTACCACAACCCGAGAAGCAAATCAACACTCAGGCCAAGATAAGAGGGGAGAGGACGGAGACAAGATAAGCACCTCTCTTGGCCGGCGGTGTCCCAAATCTGGGCCTTGAGGACCTTGCCGTCGACGGAGATGCTGCGGGTGGCGAACTCGACGCCGATGGTGGACTTGGACTCGAGGTTGAACTCGTTCTTTGTGAAGCGGGAGAGGAGGTTGGACTTGCCCACCCCGGAGTCCCCGATCAGCACCAACTTGAACAGGTAGTCGTAGTCGTCCTCCGCCCAGGACCCCGCCATCTCTCTCTCCCTCTCCCTCTCAACTCCTCCGTGCAAGGACAAGCTCGCGCGCACTAGTTATAGTTTTGAAAGGATAGAGGAGGAGGAAGATTCGACGACTGTCGCGGAGGAGGGCAAGAAGTTGAGTAGGACGCAGTGACGAAGATGGAGCTCTAATTATGAAACGCTGCTTTTCTTATTAATTTGCAGTTTACCCGCACAGCCACCTACCTTCCCATTCGATCCTTATCGGGCCCCTTATGGGCCCAAGGTTTGATGCCCGATCACGCATTCACAAAATCCCTTCCGAGGCCTCATGGTTTAATGATTGGGTACGCGCACCTGGGTCGGGTCTGCCAATTGCGATGAGGACGACGATGAGTGGATGGATCTCAGGACACGTACAGCCACACGATGTCATATTACAACGACCTCATCAACGATTTAGAGAGATATATAAATAGGATGAATATATATATATATATATATAGGGAGCAACATTTCTTTTATTTTTTCAAAGGACATAAAATATTTATTTTTTCTTTGCAAAGGATAAATGATGAAGACATTAACTATTATCTAAAATTTTATAATCATCTGATAAAATTTTCACCAAACAACCTAGCTAACACTATCAGGTAAAATTTTGAGCCCTCAATTTTTTATAAATGAATTTAGTAGATACAAGATTGATTAATACAAGTCCATAACTCAATGGTATTTACACATGAACAGCAGCATTTTTATTTTACCAAGTAGATAGAAGGAATTACCTAGCAACATGCTCGGAGTTCAAGTCGTCGCGCATTATATCCGATCTGCAATATTTAACTTAAAAAGAATATAAGGTTTATATTTTCAATGTCTCACTTGTTAAATAATGTACAAAGTTTTGTAATAATGAAAGAAGTAACAAAGAAAGAAACAGGGGAAATCCCTATAGTACATGGAAACAACCCAAGTGACTTGGGACTAATTTACTTTGGTGATCTGGTGTGCAGGCATCTTCCGCAAGTGACGAGCTTCAACAAGAAACGTGGCCTCCTTGTCCTAATCTTGAGATTTGAGAGCTGTAAAGAAGCCATGTAAGTAAATCATATGAATTTCCAGATAAGGAATCATAATAAGTAGCTGAACTAGATGAAGACAACAACAACATCATTCATGCACCATATCCTTGTCTCTTTTTCATGAGCCAACACACTAGATAAGAGGAACAATTGAAAACTATATCGTTTTGTGTTTCTGTCCACGATAAAACCAATCATTGGCATAAACAACACATACGCTAATCAAGAAAGGCATGTATTGTGAAATCATACGAGCATTAGATGTCATATAATAATTTCACTTTTGTGTCATCAGGTGCCTAACGCAAGAGTGTCAAAAAAAAAAATTTAATTTCATTAGCATAGCTCATAGTATATGGCACCAACAATAATATTGTCATTTTCCCACCTTTAGAGCATCTCCAACAATAAGCAACTAGGCTTCATTCAGGTTGCAAACATAGATTTCAAATAACAATGAGTATCAATGTGAAAGTCTCATCAGTTCAAATTAAATATAGTGTCAATCTCAGTTATTAATGATGAAATGCATTTTGTGAATACAACCACTTATGCAGCACGAACACTAATTTGCAGCTCGAAAATAAAGCTTTTTTTTATAAATCATTGAGTAGGTTTCTCCGCCATAGATGCAAAATAATACAGTAATTACCTTGGCTCGGGTTGTCCTAGAGGATTTCCAGCATAACAAGCTTCTTGATCTAGGCTCCAGTCTCCTGTAGGATTTACAAAATTACAAGACACAAACGGCAAATACTTTCTGTTAGGCAAAATTGAGAAAATAAATGCAAATTAGCTTCCACAAAACACGATAAGTATCATGAGGTACCAGAGTATTTTTGAAGGCTGCATATTTTGTTAGGTTAATTTCCAACACCATTATTACTTCAACATCAAATAAAACTAAATTCCACATTAAGACAATAATTTATATCAGTAGTTATCTAACAAGAGTCCATCCATGCAGGACTTTTGTATGCATGCCTTGTGTATAATCAGATTGTAAATGTCAGTGCATCCCAGAATGAATCTGGTGTTTCTGCATATGATGCATGTACCCTGGTGGATCTCACCTACTCCTGCTGATTTGAATTGGTGGTAATTATTCATTATCAATCTAGGAGGAAAACTTTATGGACTTCTTTCCAAAATCTTCACTCATGTTGGTCGTCATGCCAAAAAGAATCAACAATTCCACCATTTATGATGGCGGCAATATCAGATAATCATCAGGCTTAATGAGCAAGTATATTTGTGATCTGCACATTATTTAAATAATCAGAAATACTTTGCTGTAGTTGCTTTTTCATAGGCATGCATATCTTTGTACTGCAGCATCAAATTAAGTAACCAGAAATACTTTTTTCTCAATGTTATTAATTGAGAAGATCAGAATATACAAGGTCCAAGTGAAATTTGACTGCATTCCATAAGTGCTGGATTCCTATTTCAATGTCGCCATGTTCAATTAGAGTCAATCTTACACTAGTTTGAAGATATATAAAATTACAGGCTATTATGCATTTTTTTTAAAAAAATCTTATGAAAATGGAACCAAGCTAAAATTAGAAAAAAAGAAGGTCGGCGCTTATAAGGGGCTTATACTGGATTAATTTTCTTTCGTAGTAGATTATATTATATTATAAAGAAGGAACAGATTAGTAAAAGGATTATGAGCTAAAATGCTGTTATATTACTCACAGATTCTCCTGCTCAAGCTTTTCAGCTATTGACATGGCTTTGTGCCTGGACCACCCACCTCGTCGAGAACAACCTTCCGCCTGCTGAATGACATGAGCGAGAGATACCCTGCCCCTAACTAAACTTTTGTTCTGATTTTGTTCAGTTCCCTTCCTTTCTGACAGAGGAACCATATTCCTATGATGCGAAGTTGATGCTTCTTCGCCTACACTTCCAAGACCTTTTTCCTTCAATCCCATAGTCTTATTCATTGGCTCATTTTCACGAGGTTCTGCTTCAACAATTTCATCTTCTGTCATCACATGGGGACCCGGGTGCAGCCATCTAGATTTACTGGAGCAAATTCTTCTGAGAACATTTTCTTCTATAAGCTTCCCTGCAAGATTTTCAGATTCTGAATAAAGTAATTTTTTATTCTTCACAGATTGCCGCTTTTTTGTCATCTTAGAAGAACCACTTTCAGAACCAGGAAGAGCAACTGGGACATCTGATCGGACACCATTCCTAGATCTACATCTTATTTCAAGTATTACCGGTGAAGAAAGCACAGACTCAAATGCTTGTAAAATCTGCCCTCTGAACTTTTCAGCTCTAGATTTATTTGCATTTGAACTGAAAGCCAAGTGCACAGTAGGAGCTACAGTGGGGAAGGAAACGATAACATCAGTCATCTAGATTAGTAAATTAAGCAACAAATAAGTTTGAATTAATTCAAGCATTCTTTCTTCTAATTTAAATATACGAAAATCTAAGAATGACAATGATCAGGCAAGCAGTTCGAGTCAACTTTTAGACCTATGTATCATACTTTCTGAGACCATCATTGCTATACCACTGCAAAACCTTTTGTACAATACTTGCTACTGGTAGGTGAAGCATTTCTAACCAACACAAACATCTGAAATGGAGTCAAAACTCAAACCACAGAAGAGCAGAGTTTGATAAAGACAATAGTCAGCAAAAGATAATAGATTAATTGATGATAAAGAATACTAAAACAACCAAAAGAAAATATAAAGACATGCATCAAACACTCTTAGTTCATCTTGAACATTTGGTGAACTTTCTAATTATGATACTAAGTCCTTAACATATACCTCAGTGAAAACATTGTATAAGAAGTTAGCAGTCCAAACTTGATCCTGTTGGATCAGCTTGACATAATTAAATCCGGTTGATTGAGTCCAAAGATCATGTCTGATTAGGTTGAATTCAAGTCAAGCATTTCAATTAAAGATAGGGGCAACCCAAGAAAACAAAATGTTAATTAATTTCTTCCTGACAAAAATTGCAAGCACTGGAACACAAATTCTTAGAATATAATGCATGGTGGGAATTGCTCCAGGTAGGTGAATTATTTTTCTTGATTGGATAAAAAATTTTGAAGTCCATAAAAGGAATCTAAATTTGTTTGATTATTATTCATTATTACTCTTTTCAGTCAGTTGAATTACATGTGTATGGCCATGATGTAACATGCTTCATGAAAACTTCAAAATCAATCATACCCTCCTTTTAAACGAGATGTACCTAAGTCCATACTTTTAATGAAGTAAAATTATATGGCAAAGCCCCATGGAAACCAATGGCAGCAATGCCTTCTGAAAGCATGTGAACACCCTCAGTTGTTTTCCAAAAAAACCTCTATATTCGGAGAAATTACTGCATGCAAAATTTCCCGAATAGGAACAATTATTAATAATGAAAAAGGATTGCTGTCATTAAAACATAAAGATATTATAGATTAACAATGATGAAATTCATCGTACATGTATCTAAGCCACTCGAAAGCCATCAGTTCCTTTAGCATATCGAAGACACGAACCCACAACTCAACCTCATCATTTTCAATATCAAACTTTATATTTTACATATTATATTAGTACTTATATTTCGTGTTGGAATTCAAATAATATAGTTAAACCATCAATCTAAAATCTTAAATGTGAAATTTTTAGCCCCAAAAAATGTACTCTGGCTTTGCCCCTGACCGTGTTTAATCATGTTAGATGTATTCAAGCAAACCTTTGCTTCTGCATATACTGAAAATGGGTTCTAAGAACTTACCAACACCTAAGCTAACTGAATTTAGATTCCCTTCGTGATACAAAAACTGTCTTAATGTATCAGATGGGATATGCTCTAGTACTGCTTGCCATATCTTCTCAATATTCTTGTGTCTCCTGCCAGAGATATGTGAAGTCTGTCCACCATCCCCCTTCCCGTTGGCCACCGTAATGCAATTTCTTAAATCATCATCACTTCTGCCATTGCTGTACCCTTGCCCAACACCTCTTAAAAGACTTCTTTCAACGAGTTGCATGTCATCCTGCTTGTTGGTAGAGCCCCCATGTGTGTCTGTCATGCAATGGTTTTTTAGAAACAATGGACTGTGATTGAGACTTCTTTCTGTAGACGAACTAGGTAGCATATATTGCTGATCTGGAGCGAGTTGAAGAAGAGCAGCCGTTAACCATGTCAATTTGTCGCTCGATGCCCTCAACTGTTTTTCAGCTTCTGAGAGAGTCCTGAGAGCCTGCCGTAATCTCTCCATATCTTCCTTGGACACTGAAACCAACAAATTAAACACACTATAACATTGGAAAATTCTAGACAAACCCTAGAGGACAAATAAATGCAAAAACTATCAAATCAACCACGAGTAGACAAGAACTGTGTTTCACATGAGAAGCACACTCCAATGACCATTTGTAAAGTTCAACTCCTAACAAAGCCACCACAAGTGGAGGTTGCGAAGTTTCTTTATTAAGTCGCATAAGCATAGGTTGAAGCACAGGGTAACTCACAAATTTGCTGGCGGAAGAACTTTCTGCGTAGTCTTTCTCGTGTAAAGACATAACTACCGGCAAGAATATCAGTAATTGTAGTTGCAAGCTGTGACATTAATGCCAGAGGATCCACCCCAGTTTCCATAATCTCTCTTAAGCTCTTCACAGTGTTAACAGTGTCTGCGGATAATGCCAAATCAAGCAGATCCACCAGTTTTTCATCAGACACCAACCCAACCTGGATAATTAACACATAAATGTCAATATTTCACCAAGCACATCATGAAAAAAGAAATAACACAGCAAAAATGCTTCAGAATTAGTTAGATTTTCAAATTTACCAAAAGTCAATGTCTGCGTAAGTTTCACGAGGAAAGTTTATACTGTTTGCTTCCTTCAGTTCAGCAAAAAATAAATTAAATTGATCATCTAAATAAACCCATTCTGAGGCTGCAAACTATAATAATGTAGCTATCTTGAAAAAACAATGTTAAGAAATCTGTACTGGAAACAATAGAAAAGACATAAAAAAAAGAATTTGAAAACTAAAAGCCAAGCATAAGGAGACAAGAACAAGATTAAACTACATAATCAAGAAATCTGTCTGATCTCATGCTTCAATAAATGGGTCTAGAGCTGCTGTGTATGAATCAAGCACGATTCATCCTCTTAAAACTTAAAAGTTCATACTTGAAATTCAGCCATTTCAAACTAATAGTAAATGCAAACAAAATCATCCTATTATTTTCTTTGTTTTCCGGAGACAAAGAATCAAAAGTTGGTCAGATTATAAAATTCTCTTTTTTTTAAATAGCAGCAAAATGTAGGCATGATCATGTGATTACTTACCACAGAATTCAAATTCATTCAATCACAGATCTAGGACATTTGCATCTTCTCTCCACATATCTTTAGTTAGAAATGCAGAGCATGAAATTTTCAAGATTAACAGTGGGATAGTTACAATAGAAAGCAAGTGCTTGATACATTCAGGTTAACGTAGGCATTGACGCATTGATATGGTAGAATGATAGAAAACTTACTAGCTCCTGGACAAGTGGAAGAGAAATTTTCTTCCCAAGCAAACTTAATTGATCAAGAGTCATCTCAGCATCTCTTAAGGAGCCATCTGATCGTGATGCTATAAGTTTCAGAGCATCCTTGTCAATTTCTAGACCTTCACTGGTTGCAATCCATTGCAAAGTAGAGATGATATCAGAGTCTCTCACTTTTGGGAAAAAAAACTTTTGGCACCTGGATATGATAATATGAGGTAATCGGTCGAGATTCGAACAGATAAGGACAAAAATCAAGTGTCGCGGTGCTCGATCAATGTCCTTTATGATGGTACTCCAAAAATTTGAAGGCAACCCATCGCAGTCATCAAGAATAAACACTCTATATTGGGATGACCTTGGTAACAGCATCACGTCATCAAAGACGTCCTTAATGCTCTCAAAATTGAAGTTACCAACTGGTCCAAATTCCAGCACATCTCTGCTCCTACCTAGATTATTTGAAATGCAGGAACTACAAACATCACAAGGTTTTGGAACCTCCACAGACAGGCAATTCAAAGATTTAGCAAATACGCGAGCACAAGACGTCTTCCCTGTCCCATGAGGTCCATAAAAGACATAAATCAACCCTACTTTTCCTCTTAAAATGGCATTGGAAAGAGCTTGAACGACCAAGTTCTGTCCCACAAGATCTTTGAAGGTTTTTGGCATGTATTTCTGTGTCAGACTCCTGTGTCTGCCACGACCACACTGTCTAGACCTCTGCTGACTTGATCTAACTTCAGATGCCAGGTCAGAGTCTCTATCATGCCTCAGGCTATGATTGGAGAAAATTTCCAGCTCTCCTGAATAATCCCTCGAAAGGAAACGATGAGCACCACTGTCCTGAGAATCCGGCGCCTCAATCAGTAATGGTAGAACTTCAGAGTCTGAGCTCGTTGATGGAGTGAAATGATCGGATGCTGTGGCCACATTCGAAGTATTTCCTTCTCTTTGTGGAACAGGGCCTCCAGCCTTTTTAATCCTAGAATCAGATAGCCCACAGGACAAACCCCTCCCAGCTATATCAAGAAATGTCTTTCCTCGATAATGAATTCTTGACCAATTCCAAGGAATCCCACATACATTTCTCTGCATCCGTGCAGCCTCCAGCTCAGTATCTTCTTCAAAATCCTCCGCATAACCTTTCTGGTTCTTGGAATCTTGGGCTACAGTGTCTGGAGCAATGGTTAAATCATGGCGATCACCGAAACCTCCCAAATCAACAGATCCCCGAGCTCGCCTTGCACCTCTCAGCCTGCACTTCTTCCCCCTATTTGACTGGCGATAATGGTCATGATTAGTATTTTCTACCTCATTGTTGGTTCTTCCCTTGCTCTCGTGCCTACCATGAAGAAATAAGTCTGAATTTTTCTTGCCAAAATTGCATGACCGGTTTGGAACCTCTTCCAATTGCTCGGGTAGTGCCTTAGGTGTGAAAATCTGTCCATTGGCACGCTTATCGGGCTCCTCCTTTTCTTGTCCCACCACTTCCTTGGGGGGTGTCTCCTTCAAAGTAACTCTGTTGCCAGACAAACTATCGCTCTTGCGACTTCTGCCTGTCTCTTCTGCTGTATTGATCACAGCATCCATGTCTCTTTGCTCAAAATCGTAACCACCAGCCGCTTCCACGGCGGTGACTTTTGCCGTTGCCACACCTCCGACGAGTGGTGAACTTACAGACAGTCGGCCAATCTCTCTCCGTCGATCAACTTCTATAGACCTCCTCCTGCTATTGGTAGAGCCATCCTTCTCAGATTTCCTGGCAAAGCCCGCCACTATGTAAGGGGAGACCCACGAGGGAGGACTGGTGGACGGGTCTCTCAGGGACGTCGACTTCTGGAGGACAATGAGATCCCTCATGAGGGACCTCTCGGCGAAGTTGGGGCTCCGGCGGTGCATGTGGTTCTTCAAATGTATGCAGTTAGTCAGATGCACATGGTTGCGAAGGTGGTCGCTGATGGCGCCATACTCTTCTTCCCTCGGGTGGCTGCTGACGTTACTACCGGTCTCATCTTTGACGGGAACTCTATGAATGGCCTTGGTCATGATCAGAAGCTAACCAAATCTTCAACCCGAAATGAGGACATGAATGAATGTTTCAGACCTCCAATTCTCCATTCTCTGTGTGTCTTTGTGTCGAAGAAAGAAAATTCCAAGTCATAATGTGCATTTGCTTTGGACCATCTAAAACATCGGAGCACGGAACACATCCACGCTTACATGAGATTCCCCGTTTCAGCACGAGTTTTTGGCGCACAGATTTCAACCCTGCAATCTTGGTAAACAAGAAGCGCCAAAAAAGAAAATTTTCACAGTACACAACATGAAGATCAAAGGAAAAAAAAAAGGAAAGAAATCAGCTCAAGATTCTAGACTTATGAACCCCAAGAGTAACCGAAAACCGAAATTCCTGATCATCACACCGCTAATTGATCGACGGATTTCACCAACGGAAGTAGAAACGGAACAGAAGAAAGAAAAAGGAGAAGGAAACGAAATCTTGAAAGAAGCTACAAGACAGTCGTTGCCCTAAAGAACACACCAAAGCGTCGGAAGAACGAGAAGCATCGAATCACAACACGTACCGGAAGCGTAGTATCTCCAGGTCGCCGGCCACCTCCCTCCCCCGAATCACCGCCACTCTTTCTTGGGACAAGAACCAACCATAGAAACCCCAGCCAGAAGCTAACGCCAAGATCGAGAAGCGGAGGAGCCGTGTCACCTAAATCGACCGAATGCTCCGACTACGAAGCGGGATCTGAGCCATCCCCGTCCCCGCCGACCCCTCCGTCACGTGAACCCCGCGCCGACCGCTTCGGAGAAAGGAACGGAGGGGCGAGGATCAGCAGCTCGCCAGCTCGCCAGAGGCACCCAAAGGTGGAGGAAAGAAACGTTACGCCCGTGCCCGGTGAGTTCTTTTTGAGGGCGGTGACTGCTTTCTTTCGCTCCCGAAACAACGATACAGATAGGGTTGTCTTTTCCCGTATTTTCCACTCATTAATATATCTATATATATATATATCATTTTTTAATTTAATTAATATAAATTTATAAAACAAAAGAGAAAAATATTAATTATTATAAGACCGTTTTCTTTGGAGTGAGCGAGTGAGTGAGAGAGAGAGAGAGAGAGGGCAGCAACGGCGAAGGAATCCGTAACAGTAGCAGTAGCTCGAAGGGTGCACGTGGTGAGGCTGCGGTGTCTACGACTGGTGTAGGAGACGCACATGCGACATGGGGGCTCCGCTTTGGACTCTTCCTCTCTGATGCCGACCGGTGTTTGCAAGGAAGAAACGGCCACGTCGGAGCCGAACGGAACGGGGAATGCCCGATCAATCATCGTCGTGAACCAAAAGGCGTAATCGACGAATGTTGTGGTGTCGTGGAGCCCCATTTACTCTGATTTTAGCAGTCAATATATATTATAATTAATCGATTTTGGCTTAATAATGTATGTTCCTCGTCGATATATATAGATGCATGAATGATGAAGAAGGTGAAAGGGGGGCGTAGTTGTACGGAAGCGGGAGAGATGGGGAGTGGTCCAGCGGTGCCGACCTTAGCACCGCCAATGTATGCATTGTATGAATCGGTGGCTTTTGCTCCCCCCAAGTCGCTCTCACTTGCTTGGTTTCTTTCGTTGGATTCGTAACCAAAGTCGTGGATGTGGGACCCGAGCATTTCAGAGCATCGTTGGACCCTAATTTGGTTTCAGGCTCTAAGAAATCTGTCTCATCCGCCATTAATACGGGAATCCTATGTGAAGCGTAAAATTTCACATCGACGAGATCTGATCGCAGAGATGTGGTGCGATGGAGTGGACGAGAACAGAGACCATTCTTGCTCTACGAGTAGGAGTAGGGAAGAAGAAGAGATGGCGATGAGTTGGCGTCCCCACCCAATGCGAAAGATTGGCATGGATTTGTTGGCAGCAGTGACGCGATGATAGTTGCGAAAGGACGGAAGGAAGGATAGGACAGTCGCCACTGTTCTTGGGAGAGGTCGTATGGTATGAATGAAACAAATTTACATGTTTCCTCTCGGTTTCTCTTTCTTTCCGATTAATAATATGGTATCAAAGCCAAAAGATTATAGATGTAGAGAGGGTTAGAAGACTATAGATCTAAAGAGTTAGAATGTCAAAAATCCTAGAAAAGATACTTATGAAATCAAGTAACCAATTTTTGATTATTTTTCGTATTTATGGTGATAAGATAGAGGACGTTTGTATCAGAAAAAAAAAAATTTTATTTTGTTATCTTTTCTATTAAAGATTTTAAAGATATCGATGAATTTACTATTGATTAATTATAAATTATTTAGCAAAAAATGATCCAACAAGACAAAGAAGACGAAGAAGCCCTACAAGCGACAACCAATCAAAAAGGATATAACCGTAAAAAATAATGAATGGTAAAAACAAATATCATAAATCAAAAATAATAATAATAATAATACTATTGATTCTGAATGAGAAAAAGAAATAAGTATTCAACCAATCAAAATTCAAAGTCCGAAAATAAATCTTAGATTGAATGTTATAGATAGGTGTCACAATAGGATCATTATTATTTTGAATATCATACAAATTTAAAATATTTTTAAAAAATTAATTTTGTAGAGAAGAGAGAAGAGATCTCTCTTTTAATGGTGTGCTATAAATTAAAAAAAAAAGGGACTCATAAAAGACTATAGTATTTATATTTGGATACAAGGTGTGTGAAGACAAGGTTATATTTCTTGTAGGAAAAGTCTCAGGCATTTGTAGTGTCAAAGAACTACAAAGGATTCGTTGAAAAAAAAAAATCAAAGGACTATAATACTATATTAAACATGACTATCAATGTGATTATAAATGTTATAATTTCTTCCATATAATATAACATTGTTAGTCATTCCTAATGCTATACAAAATAACCTATATAATTTATCTCATCAAGATAATCTTATTATCCTATTCAATTATATATATATATATATATATATATATATATGTGTGTGTGTATATATGTGTGATTATAATATGTATCATATTCATATTCAATTATAATATGTATATATAAATTTTAATTATATAAATAATAATATCAATTATAAGATCTATTTGGGATCATTATATCTTTCATGGATCGCTCACAGACTCAATCATTAAAATATATATTTTTAAACACTTTAGACGGTAAGTCATAAGTTAATGAATCAACAATCAATACAATCAAACTCAATTTCTTAATTGATATTAATTATTTTTATATTTTTTCTTTAAAATATATACCCTTATGAAATATGATTATGACAATAAAATATGTACCCTTATGAATTTTTTTTGATAAATAATAAAATACCCAAAAATAATCATTGAATCTAATTTCTTTTTATATAAATCGAAGACTCTTTTCTTTGTAGAACAATCGTAAATATATAGACGTCTTAAGTTGAATTTCCTATTAATCAATAAATTAAAAGAAATTAATGAAATTGACTTATTAAGAACCTTGTTTAAGATATATAATCATCCTTAGAACTTCTCCTCAAATTGATTTGAGTAAAAAAAATAACTCATCATGCTCATAACCATATCCATAAGAGTATAATTTTACCTTTCCATTATCTTATTATGATGTGGCATATTTAGTAAACTATAATGAGTATAAATATCATATTATTCTATGAATTTAGTAAAAGAATCAGAATTAGGTTCATAACAATAATAAAATTTATCACTCCTATTAGTAAAAAATTTAAAATATAATTTAAAATATCATGTAAATGAAAAAATATTTATTGTAATTCACAATCCATAAGACTTTGGGATATTAGTTATAAATAATATTCATCAATTTTTTCAATCTAATATTTATTGAAACAGTTCAATAATAATAAAATAATAGCTAGAATAATTATTGAATATTAATTAGCATAAATGAAAACCCAAATAATAACTATAATTATGATGAAACATATATCATACCTTTATATAAAAAAAATAAATATTATTTCATAATTTCAAATATCTATGAACAATAATTGAATTTTTAATTATCATATGTAAAATTTTATCAATACATCACATGAGAAAATTATTAAAAAATTATAATTTATATTTTTTTAATTTCAAATGAAACCCTTAGACCAATCAACTCTATTTTATTAGGTAGATTCAGAATTAAGCTAAACATCAACCTATTTAAATTAGTAAAAAATTAAAGTTGATCAAAATAAAAAATAATTAAATTTTATTTTTTTGGATTTGATCCAAATTTGATTAATCAAATCTAAATGTAATCAAATAGTCAATTTTATAATTAAGAACACGAGTAAAATATTTTTAATTATTAAAGGGTAAAACTATAATTTTACATGGGATATATAATGAAAATATTTGATTTCTCAATGGCATAATTAAAAAATAATATATATATATATATATATATATATATTAGAATTATCTAATTTTTTAGGGGTAAAAATATCCTTTTAGTCAAAAAAAAACTCTTGAACCTCTCTCGTAACTACTACCACCGCTGCATTCTACGTCACTCATACATGTGGATCTCATCGACGATGTACTAGCCATTCGTGGCTTACGTGTAGCGTATGATGGTATGACTGTTCTCACATGGTTAGCCGATGACATCGTCGTCGTCACGTCATCCCACCATGTCATTCTGTTGCACCCACGTGCAACTATGCACCGATTGGTGACCACTACGATCACTGTAGCGAGTAACTATGCTCATGAGTCTGTTGTGTAGCCATTGGGTACTGTGACCTTCGACGTCTAGCAAACGGTATAGCAGTGTTGCTGCAGCCACTAGTTAAAAGATAGCACTATAACCATTGCATATAACTATATTGCTATAGTCGTTTGCGACCAACGTAGGTCGGTTATAGCAAGAATGTTGTGCACAAGCAGCCATGCATGCAATCGCCATTAGCAATTGCACCTACAATGCTTTCACTACATATAGCAACACCTGTATGCAATCGCTACCCAAGACTACACCAGTGATCATCGAAGGCCCTTGCCCTCAACAATATTATCGATGGTAGTCCATCGATCAAACATGACGAATCTCGCATTGTCTGCAAATATGTGATATGACAGATGATATAAGAAAGCAGATCAAAATCGAATAATACAATTTCACAAGTGAATAATGTTAATAAATAGATATAAGTATAAAATAGATATGAAACACTTTTATGATATAAAGTATTTAATTTCAAACACATAGTCCTGGCACCCGATGTAAACATAAAAATCGTAATCAAGCTATTATTATATGAAAAACTTCAATGTAAAAAATTGAAATCAAATAACAATAGATCAAATATACAATGCGTATATTTTAATATTATTCAAAAAGCCTTTATATGATCTATATAGGTACATTATCGTTGGATCTGAAAGCTAAAGTGATATCGAGAACTAGATTATCTTTCTTTTCTCTTCTTGTTTCTCATAGGGCCTATATGAGCGATATATTAGAGACTAAGGGGAGGTAAGAGAAGATATATAATCTCTCAATAAAATCACATCACGAATCATATTGTATCGTATCCGTAAAAGGTCCTATCTATTTATTATAGGTGAGAGTAATGACTATAATCATAATGATAAGTAATTAGGAAATTTTCTCCCATCAAGATCATCTTGAATCATGGCATAATCGGACTTTCACTAATGACTATAATCATAATCCAATCAAATTTATAATTATATTACTTAATGAAAATGAGTCATATAATATAATAAATTTAAGTTCGATGGATTAGCCATTTAAGTTATTTTATCTTTTGTAAACATATTTAAAGAGACGAAACAAATTTATGTGTTTCCCCTCTATTTCTCTTTTTCACAATTAATAATATTATTATGTACGATGTAAAATATTTCAAATAATGGTACACTCCTTAATTTGATCATAAATAGAAATTATCCTTCAATTGTTTCCTTTATACAACAAACGCTCGCCGAAAACTTTTTCTCCATGTTTGTCAAAAGTCCCCAAGTGCGAGCAAAGTACCTATCATCCCAGTTTGCAGTGCATTGAAACCAGAGACATCGGAGTCGGGAGAGTTTTGCATCCCACGTGGTGGAGACGTGGCTTTCCTTTTGTTTCACAAGTTCCCATGGCTTTCCTTTAACCATGCGGGCTTCCCCTTTTATCTTCTTCCTCATCCTCCTGCTGAATCACTGCACAAAGATATGCTCCACTGATGAAGAATTCATTAGATGTAATCATTGAGGTACCTCCGCCGTATGCTGCTATCATTAAATTAGTAGTTCATGCTATTATCATCTTTGCAGCTCAATAACAATAGTTAACTTTACAGCATTGTTATTTGTGGCGTTAAAATCCGAGCATGAGAATAAACAATTGTGATCGGACTTTGGAAGGTGGTGAGAGCGAGTAGAGGCTGCAGCAGAAGCGCGCGCCATTCACAACATTACAACAGCAACCTGAGAGGGACTTCAATCGACTGGGGAATGCAAACAGCTGAGGGGCGATCTGTTCTGTGTCCTCTTTGCGTGTTGTTTACCGAAGGAATCCTCCTGTCTTTGCCGTCACAACATCGAGGCCTCACGTTTCCCTGCAATCACAGGGAACGCACGCTTTCCATTGGCTAAGCCGCAGCGCTCAACAGTGGGTTTCCAGTGACGACATCGACCGGTACCTCGATCAAGATACTGCTGATGTAGATATTAAACCCGGTCTAGACCGGCCAGAACTGGACTCGAATACCCTCATTTTTTTCTTATTTATTGTGAAATATATTTTAAATTTGTTGGAGGATATTTATTTTTTACTATGAGAAAGAACATATTATATTGATTATTCACTAATCCTAGCAACCACTATGAATACCAACAAAAACTTTACAGTACATTTCTACTGACCAAACCACTAAATAAAATATGACATGAATGAGATGGATCCAACTGTGAAACCATGTGGGCTTTGCTTCGAGTATCATCGAGCTCGTCGAAAATAGTGAGAGCATATATATATATATATATATATATATATATATATATATATATATATATATATATATATACTTCGATCCAAAGGCTTTAATATTGTGGGCAATTTAAAAGAACGAACATGAAAAATCGGTATACTCGAAAAGGCCCAAGAAGAAAAAAAAAGAAAAAAAATGAAGAAAAAGAAAAAGTTTCCATTGGGTCCAATCAGCCATCAATATTTGTGGGTCAGAAGAATTCTCCACGTGGACGCGCGTGACTGCTGGTGATGGGAGTGAGAGAAACAATGATGGCGGGGAATGGGATTCAAAAAAATGGAGGTGGCAAAAGCGACAAAAGCAAAGGAAAACGAGGGTCTACTTTTGCTGCACTGCGCTTTATTTCTCTTCGATACTCGCTAATTGTACGAGCTGTCCATGCGACCGGCAAAGAAGGCGAAGTGTCGGGTAAAGCCGCCACTACCGAATCGCAGGCGCAGTCACTCCCTGCCACTCTCAGTCCGCCACTTTCTTTCAAAACCAACCCCTCCCTACCAACCTTAAACTTGACCACTACCAACCTATAGTGGTGGAGGAGTCCATAAGACTCCCACGTTCGTTCCCCCGTAACCGCCACCTTCACTCCTCGCCAACTGCTGCTTGTTTCTGATTCGTTGGGAACCCATACTGGTGGCAGGAAAGACCGGCTTAACGATAGGGAAGATGGGATGGAGAAGAAATCAACATCATCAACAGCAGCAAGAACAAGAACGACGAAAGCAGGAGGAGAATAAGACGAAGAAGAAGAAGAAGAAGAAGAAGCTGACCTCGACTTCCTCGAGCTTTTCTTTCTCCAGCGTTCTTCCTTTCTCTTGGCTCGCTAAACTCAAGCCCAAGAGAAGAACCGCACCCGTTGTCGTGCCACCTGGCGCCGTCTTCACCCCTCCGCCTTCTCCTTCCCCGCCTGATCCCCAGCTCGATCCCCTCGCCTACTGCTCCGCCGCCCCCGGCCGCCTCTCCGTTGGGGAGGATGGCGGTGGCTCCCGACCGAGGATCACTCCCGCGGCGGCGCGCCAGCGGTCCGCCCGGCACCACTCGGTGGGCGATCTCGAGATCACCCTTGGCCACATCATCCCGTTCTCCCGGCGGTCCACGAGGCGGTGGGTCGAGTCGGACTCCGGGAGCGACGCGTCGGGGTGCGATCTCGGCCTCGGCCGGCGCCCCCCGCGGCCGCGGCGGAGCACGAGGACCACGGTGGTATATACTTCGGATCAGCGGGTCGACACAGATGGCAGGGATGGGCTCCCACGGCGATCGTTCGGCGGGAAGATCCAGCATAGAGCCAAGGTTAGGGTTCGCTCGCCGCGCGCGGCAGCGGCAAAGGCGGAGGTGGAGAGGATAAAGGCGGCTGCGAGGAGGGCGGAGGGGAAGAGGAAGGGCTTGGAGAGGTTCGCGGTCGTGAAGTGCTCGCGCGACCCGCAGAGGGACTTCAGGGAGTCGATGGTGGAGATGATACGGCAGAAAGGGATCGGACGGCCGGAAGAGATGGAGAGCCTGCTCGCGTGCTACCTCTCGCTCAACTCCGACGAGCACCACGACGTCATTGTCAAAGTGTTCCGCCAGGTCTGGTTCGAGTTGAGCCAGAGTCCAATTGACGGCATTGATGGATCCACTGACCAATGTTGATCATCTTGATCGCCTCTGCATTCTGATGACATCTAGACATCAATAAAGACACGTTTCCATTTTCCATGTTCTATGATATCCTATGACGGCATTGCCATTAATGTTTATTTTATTTACATTCCACCCTGTGAAAAGGGGCTTTTCTGTAAATGTCGCATCCAAGTTATCGGGCATAAGCCTTGTGTACACAACAATGAAGCAAGCATCTATCAAGGATGACTTGTTATATAGCGATGGCTTCCAGGATTAAGAGAAGATGTAGACTTCATCGTATCCTCTCCTGATACATGACACGCTTGTTAGCCTGCAAAAAATGAAAGGAAAAGAAAGAAAGAACAATTAGTAAACGAGCTGTCATCCTACCCAGCCTTCCCGCAGTAAGTGGGGCTATAATTGTATATGAGATTGTCCAGAACTTTCTCAGTGGGAGGTCTGTTTGAGGATTTTCGTGCCTCGCTGCAAAAGAAAAAAATCATGTCTGTTAATGCTTCCAGTAGATGATAAGAATTAGACAATAATAAAAATCATAAGTCTCTATTATTTGAGTTTGATTATATTAATCTTTTATCGGTAAAACATCATATGTTAAATTTAAAATATTTAAATTTTTATTTATAATTTCTATTAAAATCTTTTTATGTATTCTTGTATCTTTCTTTGTATCATTAACATTAATCATTTTATCTCTTAAACACATTAACATATATCTTAATCAATTTCATAAAAATCTCAATTATAAACATAAAAGGTTAATATTGGAGATGGATGACTCAATTTATGAGTAAAATAAAAGATCTCAGGCTATGGTTTAGACTTCACATAAGTATGCATGCATTGCCAGTATTTACTTTTAGCTGGAAGAACATAGTGCCAGTGTACCGTGAATAACTAAAGGTGAAGTATCAAACAGCTGGAGCAACGCAACGAAACAAGAATAACCAGGATTGGAAAAGCCGCAAAGGTTCACTTCCAACCTTATTAAGTAATTCGCGACATGTTGAGTTACTCGCACTGCATCCTCACTATGTGGTATCATTGATAATCCCCATTCAAAAGCATTTTTCTGCAGTATCCAAAAGAAAACTTTGCCGTTAGCTAATTTGAGGACGCAGCTCTATACTTGTCCACAAAGGTGAAAAAAAGATTGAAATTATTATACTAGCACAGGTCAAGATTAAGAAGTGTGTAAAAGATTGTTGTATAACTAGCAATTAGAATTTTCATGGACTATACCACCGCTGATGGTGAAGGCTAGGGCACCAATCAGAGTTCCATTAGGCAAAAGTCAGCAGTAATATACTCTTAACTCTATGAGAACTCTGAGGGAGAAAAAACAAAATCAAGATTTAAAAATGTGTTTGTCATTTCTGGCCAAACCTCTGTAGATTGTCTATCAGAACAATATGTTAACCAGCAAGTGAACCAAGGGTCTCAAACATATCAAATAAGCAGTTAAAAATTAAGATAGGAACTGCTCCTAATAAGAGGAAAATTAACATGGTGATCAAAATTACCTCTGGATGCCACTGGAAGCCAGTCACAGGATAGTTATATGCTTGTGCGGTTGAAACATAATCCTGCACTAGATAAAAATAAAGTTAAACTTTGTATCAAACTAAGAATACAATACGCCAAATCCATTATCCTTCCCAAACAAGAATATGCCGAATATGTTATCCTTATACCTTACCATTTTCATCCTTCGATGTTGTCAAAATCCTGAAAAAGCTTGAAAGCGCAACATTATCTTGCAACCTCTTAGGTGATAAACCATACTTCCAGTTATAGCAACAATTCAACAGAAAGAGGCAATGTTAGGCTGCAATACCAGAACATCAAGTAGTCCACATAACAGCTAACAGCAATTTTAAAATCATAAGGCCAGTAAGATTATCAAGAAGGATAAATTCAATTGGCACAAAAAGTGTGACCAGCTGAATTGTATGCGTCAGAACATTTCAAGAAGGTAATATTTAGAAATTTTTGATTCAAAATATGAAAAAAAAAATCTTAGAAGCAAAGATCCTTGAACAAGAAAAGAATAAGGTCGAGAAATAAAAAAAAACGATCTTTATTGCATATGAATGTAGAAGGATATGAAGCTTGTCGGAAAATGGCTATAAGGATTTCACATACAAGTTTAACCAATCTTACTTTATGATTTTGCATGGCAAGACATTCTGTGCTTAACTTCCATAATAATTCAAGTGGGAATCTGCAGAACCAAAGTTTGGCAATCATGATCATGCATATAATTCTATATAGGAATTACTATTTTATTAAAGCTATAAACTAGATAATGCAGATAACTGAGCCCACATGCATTATTTTACAATAGATTTTGTCCAGGCTGTCATGATTATCTCAGTATGTTTTCTGCATCCACTAACTAGTTGCTGAACACTGATAGATAATTAATAGATCATGCAGCTGAGGAATATGATTGTAGACATAAAATCTTGCTAGCACAAATGAGAGGGGTCCTTTCAGTCATCCTCCTTCCTCACAGTGAGGCCGTCATACAAATAAATACCTGTTTCTATAGACTGATACATGTTTTCCTCGGTTGATTGGATCCTAACATAATCATGGCCTCTTCTGTTTTCAAAGAAACTAACTGATGCCTTTATTTGAACATGTAAAGACAACTTTCTTATTACCTTTTCTCATCCTTTTTTATCTCCAATATATAGTAGCCTAAAGATTTCAATGTTTAAATGTCTCTCCGTTCCCAATAACATGAACTCAAACCTAATTATCTCATTGTATACTTTTTTCCCATTAGGTTTTATTTATTTTCATTGCAATCACTTCAGTTAACTCCAAAGCACAATGTGATAACTGAAGAAAGACTTAGAAGTGGACAAAACATGATGTCAGAAAAAAAAATCAAAATAATTGTCTAAGAGAAGTAGCAGAAGTAACCAATATCACAGTTGTTCTGAATCCACCACTAATTTTCTAAAGCAGTTTTTTAATTCAATTATGCATAAAACTAAGGGTAAAAAATTCTGTCTACTTCAATAATGGAAGCCTGTAAATGCAACACTTTTTATTCATAATATGTGAATATTATTTACAATGTAATCGTCATTTGCAACTAACTGAATGATCACAAAAAACAAGAGTGAGCTTTTATCTAAAGACATCTTTTTAAGTTCTTTTCAACAAAACTAGGAGCTTATGCAGACTCTTGTGATAGATAAATTCCATCAGATTCCTTTCACAAATAATTGAAGAAAAGGAAGAAATTCTTGATCACTCATTTCAAGGTTCATTTAGTCCTGGTATATACTATCATGACGTTATTAGATGATCAACTATAAATAATTCTCTTGGGCAAATAAAACAAGAATTATTGCAAAAGAGCTCCTGCACAAGTTTTACAAATGAATTGGATGGACATTATGCCGGAAGTTAACAAACCGCCCCTTGGAAAAGCAAAAAGAAAGAAACAATTGCAATTACCTCTCAAAAACAGACCCTTTAATTTCTGCATAATCTGGAAAATAAAGAGTGGACGCTTGATTCTCTCCTTTAAATCTCTCACATATATCGCAGTCCTATGATCATAAAAAAAGGTAATGGCGTGTTCAAAACACGGGAAAAATGGTTAATAGATTAAACTGGAAGATAATGCATGTGTCTTCGATAAGAGCATCCACACATTGCAATATTAAAATCTCTACCTACAGGTTTATATGCATCGCAATTTCAAAGGGCTGATTCTTAATACGATGAAGGTTATCACTTAAAATTAAGCAAACAGTTTGAATTAACATAAAACATTCGAAATAGATACGTTTGTAATATTTATGCCGAAACAAAAAAGAAGAGGGACTTACGTTGCTTATAATCATGCTTACAAGCTCAAACCCTAAACAAATTGCAAACAGGGGAAAATGGTCCCCTGCGTCATTTCTCTCCAAAGTTACCTGTCACAGCCAAGTGAAAAGTATTGTTACCCAAAGAACAATATCATCCTTTATCCAAAAGGGCATAAAACGGGTATGACGATTGTGCATCAGGGAAATCTCGAATTTTCATCTGTTTTGAATATATTTGAGCCAATCGCCATCAAGATAGCAGCATATTTCAGATTAGCAAGAATACCTGAAACAGTTTCGTTATGGTCTCAAAGTACAATCCCTTCTTAGCCCATCCGCCGGTGAATAATACGCCATTAACCAAACTCAACTTCTGCAGCCACAAAAGGAGTAAATTGGGTCACTTGAACTCTTAGATTATCAAGATTCAACAATCTTAGCGATGTTTCCTTCACTACCAGCTAACCCTAAGTTTCTTCGACTGAGAAACCGAGTTAGGAAGAAGGAAAGAGAGAAGGAACGGTCCTACGTCCAGGAGGGTCTCCTCGGGCTCGTTATATATGAGAGGGATGACCCGGGCCCCTGCGGACTCGACGAACTTGACGTAGGAGGCCGGGATGTTGGATGCGCTAGTGACATTGCTGAGCCGGCCGGAGGCGCCGTCCCCCGGGTGGGTCACGATCCCGATTACCGGAAGGTAGTAGAGGGAGGGGTCCGTCGACGGGCAGCTCGACGCCTCCCCGGCGTAATCAAAGAACTCGGCCTCCTCTCCCCACCTGCCTCGGAGAAGGACGGAACCGCCCATGGTTTCTCCGTAGCACGAGATGGAGGTGATGAAAGAGGCGATGAGGATGAGACGAAGGACGCATAGGGAATTCCACCGCCCTGAGGTCATCTGTGGCGAAGGGTTAAGGTGAGAGAGGAGACGCGAGGACCATAATCGAATTTAACCGATTTTAACGAGTAAAATCACCTTTTTCTCTGTTACTCGTTCACGTACCTTTCTTCAAGATGAAGCAAATTGTGGGATCCACAAAGCTTAATCCACTCGCAACACATACAGAGTTCTTGGGTGCCGGTTGAAACGGAATCCAAAGCTTTCTTTTGTTCTTTTGATGCATAAGACTAAAAACCAGTGGCAATTACCCGCGGTCATGTTACGCACACGCACACCGTGGATAACCGAACACTCCAACTTAGGTGATATTTTTGGGGTCCTCCGTCATCGTGGACCCTTATCCAATGGCTCAAAAGTTGCCACGACAACCGCGTAGCTAATGCCCGTGTATGATGGCATGTACTCATTTCCTCCGCAAAAGAAATCTACCCCGTTCTGCTGGTGGTTCGAACTCTGCCCCATGTGGTATGTCCAATCATCATTCTAGTACATGTGGAGGTGAACCACGTGCGGGTAAGAATAAAATCTTTGCTCAAAGATATTTATATATCAGGGCGAAAGGTGAAACGTGGCAGAATTATACCACGGAGATTGACTGTTTGGTGTTTGAAGTGTGCGTGGGATCACACTTTCCATGAATAGATTACTTTGCCAACCCTCAGTCGCCCACCCACCAGTGTTACCTGCGTACCGCTAATTCGTGCGTGTCGTGCAGATGAAGTCAAGCTTTCTGGGTCCCATTCCCACGACTTTATTCGACGAATGCAACGTATTGACGTGTCGATCGTGGCCCACCAACATAACATTTTCTCACAGCGAATATATATATATATATATAACGTATAAATAAATAAATAATAATTGATAAATCCAAACCCAAAAATTGGTTGTGATGCTGATATTTCATGCTTTACATGTATTGATACACCTTAATTGAGATGCATTCTTCACAGGTCTTGCAATTAAGGTGGTTGGGTGGCCGATGACGTATTTGGTAGGTAGATAAGATCATGAGTGGTTCATCCATTAGCATACTGACACCTAATACCATCACCTGGCCTCTCTTTAAATGACCTATGCAGTGTCCCTTTCTATTTATTTTGATTCGCATTTTTTTGTGGTTTTTGCTTATAAATAAATGGTGTGGCAATGAGCCAATTAGGGGACATGATTGATGGTGATCTTGTGGTCTACTTTTGTTGCCATCCTCCCTATTCACATCCCCACCAACTTATTATTATGCCGATTAGAGCTCCGGTTAATTGATTAGTAAATGATTCCATTCAAAGTTAGCTAATTTTTCGCAAAAGTTTCTTCTTTTTTTTTAGGATGGATTTAATATTCTTCCAAGCAAGATAAGTGAGGATGGTTCCTTTTGATTTAATTAAGGTTAATCTTTAGCAAAGTCTTATGATCGAATCTTATCTTCATTTATCTTTCATAAAATAAAATAACTGAAATTAATGGACACATTATAGTAATTCGATACAGACCAAAGATCATCTCACAAACAAATGATCTGCACAATACAATACATTTCCAACACAGGTATTCTTCAACCATGACCACCAGCTCTCAGGTGTATGACTCAATGTGGAACACACAATTACTATCAATTATCACCACATAGAACAGAGTCTTGCACCATGCAAACTGCATCATGCAGCAATCACTATGGCTCCCATCATTATGATGACTATAACAACTCAACTAATTAACATTTATTTAACTTTGGTATCTATCCCCAAAAAAAGGAAAGTCTGATTCCAAGACTGATAAGCATTTTTGGATGCTTTATAAAATGTGAGTGGAAGCAACAGGGAGAACTAGCAAGCAGAATGCCCATTTGGAATAAGCAAAACAAGGCCAAGCAGAGTGCCCTCTCTGGCGCCGGCAAGCGATGAAGATTGCATTATGCTTCGTGATGCTGTACTCCTGCAATGTGGGGAAATCCTTATCTGCAAACTGAGTCAAGTCAAGAATTTGATTAATAAGCATGAGAACTCTTGTTATCGTGTATCATCTAAAAAGACTAATTGTAGAACCACTGGAAAAAATAATAGTTTCAAAGATTTAACCAGGTCAGTTCTTTTTTCTTTTTATTTTCAAGAAGGCTTACCTATATCGGGTAATCGACACGAACAATTCAATGGCACTTCGCAGTAGGAGACAAGAGCATCCTTTGCTATATCTGGTTCTGTAGCCGAGTGAAAAACCAAACACGCTGGGGCTCCCCCGCACAAAGACACTCTTGAGAACACCCTGGACTCTGCAGAACAGACAGTACTATACACACAAATAAAGGACGGCATGTAAGACATATATTCGGTTTATAAGATGAAAAGTTAGCATACTATACATTTCAGTTGAAACTAAATTTCATCATATAGCAATTGTCATATTGAAGAAACTAAAAGGAGACGGCTTTTGGTTGTTAAAGGTGATTGTCGTATATATAGAATGATTTCTTTACAATCATAGCAGATGTACGAAGTCTAACACAGTTGACTATAATGAAACTTTGTTGAATGATTCGATAAAGTTACACATGGGGACCATAGGCACACATTAATTATGTAAAACATACACAGGACGGAATATATATGGATTCAGTTGATTGATAGGATTGAGTCAAAAGATGAGGGGGCATCGCCTAAAGTCTGGTACGATACGGAATGCTACTTTTGACTTGATACCACCATCCATATGATGAAAGAATTATTACTAAGAAAACTACAAATTACTTCTAACCAGGGACGAAAAATAAAAGGAATGAACCGACAACATAACAAGTTTATCATACATGACCACCGTAAGTTATGTCGCACTATCAGATCACATATAGGTTGTAACACATTAAAAACTAAAGAAAAGAGATACAAACATCAAGTTTAATCTGCTGAAGTGAGATTTTCCATCTTTCCTGCAAGGTGATCAACATTTTTCCTGTCGCACCATGTGTTTCCTCGCTCTCCCATCTCTCCTTGACTTTGTTTGTCATCTAAATCTCTTCTTTTTGACTGGACTTCCTTTGTCTCAGAAGAACCTGGGATCTCCGTAAGAAACTGTTCCCAGAACACATCATTTGCCCCTGTCTGTGCCACAGTTCCGGTAGTTTGACCTCTTGACGAATCAATATCTATGGCAGCAGGTGCTAAATTCATGTCTATCTTAGAAACCTTGCTTTGTGAATCTGTTTGTATTTCGGTTGCAGGAATAACAGACGTTTCTGCATCACTAGTGGATTCTGCTACCTCTGGAGATGAATGAATATCTCCCGGGCAAGGTGAAGGAGGATGCAGTTTAGGAAACAGCAATTGCAGATTCACATCAGTCTCCCCGGATGATGCATTCATCTCATCAAGAATCACATTAGAGGGCAGGCATGGCACGATACTATCATAGCAGACATCGTCACCAGAAGCTTGACTAACACTTTTGAAGAAATTTTCCAATGAATTCAACGATGATTCCATCTTCTCAAATGGCTCCATGTCGAGTGCATACATTGGAAGAATGTCAGACTTTTCTCTTGCAACAGGCTGAAAAGACGCGATTTGGTTATCTTCCATTATAGCATCCTCACCTAGAAAATCGATCTTTGGCAATCTCCTTTTCTTGCTACGAAGATCAGAGAATTGTACAATGTTAGAAAGGAACCCGGGTTTCTGTATGATTTGTGCCAAGAAGTCCATGAGGCTTCTCTGTCGGTTTTCCAAAACCTGCAATCTATCCTCTAAGGACTGCATTTGGTGCTCCATTCCATGCCGCTGCTGTGTCTGCTTCTGAAACTCACTCAATAGTGTACCCTTTTTTTGCTTAAGCCTCTCAATTTCCTCTTCAAGCTCCTGTCTTTCAGCTTCCGAAGTGTTGCCTTGGTTGTGCAGCGAATGGCTATGCACCGGCTTGCGTCTGTAAATGTTTTGTAAGAGGTGCCTTTGTCCTCGTATGAAATCGTCATTTGTGAACTCCCATTGATCAGGGTCTGTTTTTCTGAAACCCTGTAATAACAAAATCATTTTAATCTCCAAAACTTCGTAACAACACTACGGCCAAAAAAAATCATAATAATCTCAGCCATGTTTGATGATGTACTTGTGGTGGAACGTATAAAGACATGACCGCTACAAACTTAAGGCTCGCAAAAAGAAAACAATTAACTCTATAATAAATCAATACATACGAAAACTTAATAATTCAGAAAAGTGTAAAATAGTCCACAAGCAATCAACTCATTTCCGACCTATAAAAGAAAAAAAAATTCAATACTTGAACAAATCATTCTTACGATCTCTCTTCCTGTTCGAAGAACATAATTCAAGATTCAACAATTGTGTATGAAAATTTTGATCAAGAATAGAATTCCATCGTATGAGTGAGTGCATTTATGTCATTCTTCTGACCAGATAAATCGTACAGACACCACAGGCAACATAAAGTAGGTCAATCGAGATGAACTAATTAACCAAGCATAATATGTGACACAGTTTCCAATCCAAGAAATTACTCATGTCCGTTAAAAAGAAGAAGTAGTCTTCTATTGGGATTGTTCCACTTACATAAGTGTTGAGCTGCCTGACGAAGCTGGAGAAATTGTTGTGCTTAAAATACTTGGGGAGCAAATCCCTAGCAAACTCCGGCGGATTCCACACGACGAAGCTCGTGTTAGAGGGGCTCCATGAAACGATGGAGTTCGTCGACGGGTCGTCCACCATCTCGTACGTCTTCGTGAGGAACGGGGGAGGGGAATTCGAGCTCCCCCGAGAGCCTTCCATCCCTATCAGCCAAACACCACCACCAGATCGGGAAGTCAAAGCATCCTTGCCCCTTCAAGATTAGGGCAAATCGCATCCTTCCATCGAAAGATCAACCAAGAAACCACCTCCTCATCCACAACCTCGATCGATCCGCTCCATTTTCAAATGAGCCACGAAGTCCCCATCTGACCGAGAGGCCGAAAGAAACCTCGTGGTTTAAACTTTCAAGATCAAACACCCAAAAGGAACAACCTTTACACCAGAACCGATCGCTAATCAGGCGACGCCTTCGAGTAATCCGCGCAAAGGTCCGACCTTTACGACGAGGAAGATTAAAAGGAAGCAAGAAAGCGAGAAAGAAACAGGGAAAACACCTACGAGCTTAAAAGGAACCAACCTTTCCTCCTCTTCCTCTCGCTCGTGCTTCTTCGGATGGCCAAAACCAATTTTTGATGCGAGAAACCGAACTCTTCGATGCTATTCTGGAAGGGTTCAATGGCGATGTGGTGTGTACGAGTCGGAATCGTCGGAATTTTCCAGAAGAAGAAGCAAGCAATAATAAGAACAAGTCTGACCCTCCCTGGAAATGAATCCTTCTTTTCCTTTTTCTCTCGATCTTTTTCTATAATAACTTTGCACCCCTCTCTCTCTCTCTCTCTTCACAGGACAATGATATGTGAAATGAGCTTTTCTTCTGTCCAATTGTTGATAATGAATAGCTGCGGTGAGCTCTGCAAACAAATTTTAGTTCCTGTCATTTAGAAAACTGAAGTCAACAAAGTAGATATAATTTGATTTATATTTTTTAATATTTTTCATACGATAAGCTTCAAAATATGTATTTTTAAATATGACTATAATACATTTGAATATATAATTCTTTTTTAATCCAAAGTGGATCAAAAAAAAAAAAGAGATGAATATATAATTCATATTATTTTGTAATATTTTTCATACGATAAACGAAGATCAGTAAATCGTTTCATAATGCCAAATGCCATTAAGAACTTCTGTCGACCGATTAATCTGCGAATTCAAGGCGATCGATCAACCAGTCCAGTCCCGACACCAACTCGTCAATGGCACCAGCGAACTGTTCGATGGTATGTCTCTGACGGAAACGGTGGTGGGTGGGAAAGCATTTTCTAAGCTTCTCACCTTCCCAACGGTGGTAGAAGAGAAACTCGAGAGATCATCACAACAACCACCCCGTTGATCTCTCCAAGTGCAGCGAGGTGCGCCTGCCTTTGTGTGGGTGGGTTGTTGATGCGGTGGAATGCACCAGAAAAGGAAGCACCATGGCGGAAGTCTTCCTTTCCTCCTCCTCCTCCTCCTCCGCCTCCTCGCTTCTTTGACAAAGGCAACGCGATTAGGTCGAGGAGAGCTGAGATAGTGCTGCAGGCAGCTCAAGCTGATCGATGAATGATGACAGAGATGAGAAAGCGGTGGAAGAAACGTGATGCTGCCACACGCTAATTGGAAATGTAAGTAGCTGATCGATGTAAGATGTCACAGCCAAACTCATCTTCGAGTCTAATAATCCAATTAATCCAATCACTTGTTCGTTTGTCGGTGACTGTAATGGTTCCGATCAAAAGAATACTCTCCGCGGGTCAGATTATGCATGAAAATATCACACCCACACAAACAAAATATACATTAGAGAAAAGCCAACATATGAATCAAAAGGAATTCTCTTGAAATCTCCGGCTGTCGCCTTACAAATGGATCACTGGGTGATAAGGTGGGTCCCCAAATGCTTCGAGGAGGAAGACCTTGTCTTCGACTTGAGCAAAGCGAAGGAAGCTTAGGTCATGGTGGCCGCAGAAACCTCCTCCAATCACGGAGATCAGAGTCATCATACGACACAATGCGTAGAAGCTTCGTAGTGACGACGACAATCTCTCTCTCTCTCTTACTCTCTCTATCTAAGACTAACATTGCTTTCGTTGCGACGCGTCCAACTCCATGACCCGATATAATAAGGCTGTTTGTCGTCAGCAGGCTCGTCATGGTGATGCAAATTGCTTCGACGACCTGGAACGGGAGATTCTTGTCCATCCAAATGAAACCATGGCGATTGCGTGCTTCGAGTGCACTTCGTGGGGATTAATTGGTCACGGAAGGAAGGCAGTAGAATTCCTGTCTCACCTTCTCTGCCATGATCGACCGATTAAGAGATGCGGCAAGGGAAGGCGACGCGTCCTGCAGTTACTCTCCCGACTCCTTCGCTGCTTGTTCATGCCCACATACCAACGGTGAGAGACGGCGCAGAGCGGAAGAGATAACGTTAGGTGGAGACGTGTATGTCATCGCTGCATGGACGGGGAGAGATGGTGACTCGTCTTCCTTGGCGTCCAACGACTCCAATAGCGACTCACCGGCACACTTACTGCTGCCACTTCAATCAAATGCTTCATGCACTTAAAACAACTTGATCTGCAGCGGAACAACCAGCAACACGAACATGAGTTCGTATCCAACGTGGAAGTTCCAAGTCTGGAACATGAGTTCATCATCCAAAAGTCTCGGAAGTGCATGGGAAGATTAATGATTGGGAAACCAGTTTTGATCCTCATAATGGTTTCTCAGCCCATTTAACTGCTGCAGCTAATACTTCAAGACAACACCTTTCTGCTGCAGAAGCAAATTGGTGACAGAAACCTCCACAGTATTCTTCCCTTGCAAAGAGTTACAAGAGAAAGCTTATGAAGCCTTTCGTTGCACACAATGCAAGCAAAGCCAAGACACTGTTCTTCTCTGTGCTACACAAAACAGAGAAATGGAAACAGTAATGGATTTCTATTACTGCAGTTCAAGAAAAACTCTTGAATTTGCCAAAGCCTCCTCAGCACGAAAAGAACTGCAAAGTAACAAATTTTCTTAGATGGATTTAAGTAAATTCAACACTATGAGGTATATCAGATATTTGAACATAGATAGTACTGAATCCATATACGGATCTATAGAATTCAGAAGATTTCAAATCAAAATTCGATTGCCAATGTGGTTGGTTATACAATGGATATACATTTGTTTCCTTTGCTAAATGAAGGTGTTAATAGTTTTCATTTACTTGATTCCTTTTTCATTCTTTTCATTTGGATGTGGTTAATAGTTGCATGGTGAGGACAGAACCAGCTTTTGGCAACTAGTTTCAGCATGATGAACTCATATTACAAGCTGGTGGGAACGATTTGCTCAATTGTTATTCCTCAAAGATTCCTTTGACAACCCAATCAGAGCCTTTCATGGGACAAACAATGGTCAAACAATCCCCAGTTGATATGAAGGAGATGATGGGGAAGAATAAGATACATTTAGGGAGGATGCTGCTTGGTAAGTGTGTGTTAGCTTGTGACAAACAGAGAACACTCGGTCACAGTGACTGTCTCTGTCATGGACTAAACTAATGGTCATCTGAGATTACAGGATTAGATTAACAGAGACAGATCTGTTTGGATTAGTCTTGTGTCAGAGTGGCCTTCATTAAAGGTACGCCCTCTGATGTGTTGATTTAGAATATCAAATCTGTTTAGCAACATAAGCTCTCAAGTTGTTGCATTTGGCATTTTGCATGGGGTGTTTTCTTCTCAGACCTCACTTTCTGTGAAGATTTAAGAATCTCTTTAAAGTCATAAACAAAGGGTTTAAGAAACAGTACTGTGATTGTAACATGGAGAGCACTACAAATTGACACTGTTAATGATAATATTATTAAGTCATTCTTGAAAGGAAATTGTTTCTTGGGGTCTAAAATTATATATGGAATCAACTGCTGAGTTTGGTTTGGATCCAAAATGAACTTTCATGATGGTAAAACAGAGCAATCTCACCCAAATATATCTTCAAGTTAGGTATCATCATGAAATTGAATCCCTTTTTCTGAAGGATATGTGCAAGCATGGACTGATACATGTATTTAGGCACACCACAACTCCAGAAAAAGGTCTCTTTGCATGATTTCATATAGACATTCAAGTTTGATTCAGCTTTTTCCCAGTCAAAAGGTTGAAAAGATTTCATTGCTAATCTTCCAAGCAAGGCATGGACAACAGGGAAATGATAAATGTATGACCTATGTCCATTAGGTGATAGGTTGTCTGGCATTCTTATGTTAGATTTCTAGTGTAGCATCTATGGAAATCACCAGTAGATCTAGAAAACTACTGTCTCACATTTGGAAAGCTGCCTTAGCATCAGCACTAATTGCTTATTCTGATTAATTATTGTTCCACAAGAGGGATGAAGTTGCTTGCCAGATTCAAACTCAAGGTGGTTTCTGACTTCATGGATAAGCTTGACTATGTTTCTGAATCACAGGCATGCATTCATTTCAGTCATAAACTGTAATAAATGTGAGAAAGATGATCAAGCAAGTCAGTACCTTTTCCCTTTGTGTGGTGTCATTGGTGACACATGACATTATCTAATGAAAGGGACCTTTTAGTTAGGTATCTTTTCTGAACTTTTGATGCCAGTGTTCTTCCCTTTGACTGGTAACATTTCCATGTGCCAACCGAGTTGCATAGGTGCCTTTGAAAAGATGATGTGGTTTTGGATCCCTGTGGAGGATTGATTCCTCTATCATCATATGTAACTCAGGTTTTCAGATCTAAAAGCTATTTCAGAAATGACTTCCTGTAGGATTCATCTCATCCTTAGAACTGGAAACAATTGACTTCAACCTATGATTGGTAGAATCCAATGATTATTGTGACATGGAAGCTACAACTTTCTAATGATCTCTGGAACATAAACATTTGTTTGACTTGAAACCCAGTAGAAGAGTAGGTGGTTGATCTGTATCCATGGATCTTTAACATATCCTAGCTGGAGGAATCCATGAAGTTAGATACAAAGTAGTTGGTTGGTAAAGGAGAAGCACCAGTTGATGTGTATCTGATGGAACTGAACAGAGTAAACTGGTCATAGGCTTTTTAAGATAGATAGATGTTCATGCCATTTGAAGAAACATATTCAAAAAATATTTGCCAGTTTGAAACTGTGAGCAAATAATTCAGCAAGTTGGTATCATCTAACCAAACAACATCTACATTGGAGCATTTGCACTCTCACCAAACTTGTTGATTGTGCAGTGTTAATGTTTTCAACTTATAATATCCTACACCAAGCAGTAATCATTAGACCAAGCTCATGTCCTTTTCTCTTCTCTCACACAAGACCTGCACCTCACCAAGTTTCAACAATGTAGACATTAGGTCCTTTGACTTTTAAGTCTCCTCTTTCTTTTTGTAGAGTCTAGCCATTTAACTATTACATTAAAGAAAACAAAAAGCTTAATCTATTCATTACTGAATTCAATCAACTCAGACTCTTGTGTTTTTTTGTACTGAGAAAATTATGAATCTTCTTCTAAATACACAACTAAAGTAGTAGAACTGAGTGACTACAGTTTGCATTCCATTGTCTTTAACATGAAAAAGACATTGAATTGACCAAACAATGAAACTGAGATTCCAGGAAAAATTGTCATAGGTGCCAGTTTTGACTTAAGGTTGCATGAGTGTGGAAGATCTCCCGGACATAGAAATTATGGTACCTTAATGATACACATTTAGTATAGAATTTGCACAAGTGAGAAGCTTGATTTATGGCAACCTATTCTCAAAAGTTAAATAGATGAGGAGGAAATCAAAAATGAGTTTCTGCAATTCTAAATTCAGTCGATTTCGGAATATTTCTGCGATTCATCTGCATTCATATTTCGATCAATCTCCATCGAATAAATACACTTGACATGTTAATTTTGTAGAATAGATTAAAAAAAATCAACTTCATTCACCATTTTTTTTGTTTCTAATTGAATCATTATGATTGAAATGATAATGCAGCCGACAACCATCAGATCACTGAACTTGGCTTTTTGGATGATTTTTTTTCTTTTAATGTTTCCAGATGAATGATTTCATAAGTTAGCATCCATTAGATTATGAACATGCTTATTTTGTCACTAGAAAACAATTCACTTTGCTATGTTTGGAATAATAATACATTGAGACAAATCATGCATGAATCCAATGAACAAAGACAATATTGGAGCTTCTTCCTCTTTTTCATGGACAGGCTGCAAGTTCTCTGCGATGACAGAGAGGTACATTGGGTCCCTTACCAGCTTTCTTGGTGTATTTGTGATGCAAATTTCCAAAGACCCTCATCTAATTGTTGTCCTTTCTGCAGGGAAATAAAGAACATTAGGACAAGGACTCATCTCCATGATTCGTGAGTTGCCAACCTCAACATGAGATCACATAGTCCTATTCCCAGCATGATCAAAGGTGACATTATGGACAGAGAGGGTTGTGAACGGTACTGTAAACAAAGCATGCATTCATTTCTTACAATCTAATATGGAGAATCCAAAGAAGGGGAGGAAATGACAAAAGGAATGACACACAAAGCGACTCTCTTTCTCTCTCAGAGATGGAAGTTTATTTGGGTTACTCCGAGAAAATTTCAGCACCTGCACAAATGCTACAGATCTACAGAAGCTCAGCTACTATATGTACACGAACCACTACCACATGCCCCGTCGCACTGGCTCTTCCAATGGTGGCCACTGCTGCACCGCGTCTGGGCACATCAAAGAGCTTTCCTCGTTCCAGTTCATGCCTTCAGCTCCATCGAAGCAGTCGAATCCTTCTAACTTGACCGAGTCGAACTGGAACAGCTCATCCAGCTCGGTCGAAAAGCCATTGGAGCTTTGAGAATCTTCACGGGACGAACCGCGGCGCAGGGAAGAGGAGAGCAGGGTGGCAGAGTCGCAGATCGGCAGGGGCAGCGGCGGCGTTGCCGGAGCAACGAGAGGACTTCCGTGGCTCGGTCCCTCGGTATGTCCCGCGTGGCCGATCGGATGCATCGGCTGCGGAGTCCAGCGATCGGCAGGGTGGACGCCAAGTCCATCTCCGTTACAGCCGTAACTAATAGATTCTTGCTTGGGGCGGCCGAGCTTACGGGGCGGCTGACGGCCGTCGCACTGCTTGCCGAAGAGCTTCTTCTTCAGCCTCGTGTTCCAGTGGTTCTTGACATCGTTGTCGGTCCTCCCCGGCAAATGTGCAGCAATAATAGACCACCTGCTCTTCCACACACAGCTGAACGTTAGTGACGCACCGACGCATGCTCTCGCAGCTGGAGACAAGAGGATCTCGGTCATCACCTGCTACCGATGCTGATGTACAGTCTGCATATAATGCTATCCTCTTCTTCGGAGAACCCTCCATGCTTGATGTTTGGCCGGAGATAGTTGAGCCACCGGAGACGGCAGCTCTTGCCGCAGCGTCTGAGGCCTGAGTGGAGCAACGAGCACCGGTAAAGATGTGGGAGCCAAGTGTTCGACCTGGAACCGAAAGTTACACATGAAGCAAGCAAGACGCACCGATCTTCTGGGGGAGGGCGATCCAGTTGCCGCCGGTGCCGTGCTGCTCGATGTAGGACTTGAGCTTGGCGTCCTCGTCGGGCGACCAGGGCCCTCGCTTCACTTTGGCTTTGTCGCAGCAGGGGGCTCGTCCCATGGCGGCCGTGGCCGTGGCCGTGGCCTTCCTCTCTCTGGCTTTCTTCCTCCTCAAGCCAAAGTAGGTGTTAGCTTCTACAGATGGGAAAGCATGAAATGATAGATGGAGTTCGAGAGAGAGGCAGTAAACGTGCAGGGAATTAAATAAGATGGTGAGGAGCGCAGACGGAGGGGGGGGTTTCTTCCTGCTTGTCTTTGTTGGATTAGAATCTTTCTTTCTCATGCAGGCAGGCATCAGCGCTTTGGCCCACCTTCCTCTCCTCTCCTCTCCTCTGCATGCCATGTAGCACATACTCTTTATGTTTCCTCTCTCACTCCACATGCATGCAGAGCACCGATCTGTACTTGTGCTGGGCGTACGCATCTGGGAAAGAAACATGTATCATATGGTCGGCCGAGAATTCACCTCACTTGCTCATCCTTGCAGTGATTCTTTGCTGGTGATGATAGGGTGACACCGACGACGACCTGAATATATTTACATCGTATCCACCACTAATATGAGAGAGAGCCAAATTGTGTGATCCCCTTATAACTGTTAGGGTGTCAAATCTAATTTGTACGAAATGTTACATTTTAGAGAGGAGAGAGAGATCTACTCGATTATATTATATGCTTGCATTAAGATCGAGAGAGGAGTAATTAATAGCAACGTCTGACATGAAGAAAATTTCCTTTGGCGGCTAAGTACAATAGCCCAACACAGTGAGTCCAAAACCAGCTAACATAGCATGTGGGATACATGTTACAATACCGGAGAGCTCCGATGAATGGGTACAACAGCATGGGACAAAGGTGTTGTAGGGCTATCTTGGTGTGCCGTTCCTTCGAAGCAAGCATTTGCCCTCATCTGGGTGGGTTGGGTTAACCCAATCAATGGGTGGATGCCATGAAGAGTTGGATTCTCGACGAGGGTTTAGGGATGGCGTCTCAGACAAGAAATGGCATGGGGGTGAGGGGGTCCCAAATGCTAATCGAGCCTATATATCTAATATCATGAAACCGAGCAATGATGCGTTGACACGATGCAGGAATGCAGTGGACGACATCTTGACTCCATGGCTATCTGTCATCTTCATCTTCTTCTTCCCTTCGTTTGCCTTTCGTAGATAGCCCGCCACCACATTTTTAACAACGCAATTTGGTAAGCTTTAGCGAGAGTGACACATCAACCTCTCCATGTACGATTGGCGAGCAGTGATTCAAACCTTTTCGACAGCACCCCATCGATCGATCGATCAGTCGATCTCTGTCTATAAGATAGCTTAGCCCCCGTTCGTATTCATTTACGTTATCCGATGGCCAGAGAGAGAGCTCTGCCGAGAAACTTGAACTCGGAGAAGACTCTTCGACGAGACGGTCCAAAATGGTGTCGCGGTGAGAGCGACGTGGCATCGAGCTCCAAGACGAGAGAAACTTCTGTAGCTCGATGGATGCGATGAGCACCGCTGTTGGATTCATGAAAACGGAGAAGGATCGTACGATTGAATCATATTGTATATATAATTTGTCGTCGTATAGGGTTAGTAATGAGCGATGAGGATTTGAAGAAGAAAGCCGAACTGTTTGGAGAAGAATCTATTGAATCAGTCAGTCTACGAGTCGTAGAATCATAGGGGTATAAATCAACTGAGTTTTCGTACTGACGATGATGTGAGACCGGACATCGTTTGTCGTTGTTGTTGGATCGGTACGCTGATTGATTTATTAATTTCATAAATTTGAATTATTAATTGGATAATAATCGTCTAATCCTATCTATGACATGACACATCGATCTGTGACCAAATTAGATAATAGATTATCTTGAGTCAAACTTAATATCTAAACTCATATTAGTAGACTAAATTAAGGTAGAGTACGAAATCATCAATCAGATGAGAATTATCGAGTAAGTATGATGATATTATGGTTCTTCGTTTTGGCATGGGTGCTCTCTCTCTCTCTCTCTCTCTCCATGAGTACAACTTTGAACTCTGCTACAAAAGGTGATGGGAAAAAGGATGAGAAGGAGTCGTGCTGCTGTATCTTCCGTGGCGCAGTCAAAAGAGCAGTACCCATTAGAACTGTTGGCCACAGCCCGAAAACCGCGGGTTGCGATGGAAAAATGAAGCTGACGATGCCAATTATTGGTGTTGGGGATCGGCTCATCAGGATTGTTCCAGATAAGGTCCTTTTTGTCTGCATCCATCCTGATGTCACTCTGCTGCCCGGCTGCTACCTACTATTTGCTCGGAGGCCACTACTTGTGGACTTGATGATGCAATTTTGCAACAGCAACATTATGAGAGAGACAGAGAGTTTATTATTATTATTATTATTATTATTATTATTATTATTATTATTATTATTATTATTATTATTATTATTACATGAGGAGGGGGGATAAGAGGTGCAAGTCCACCACCAACCTCTTTTGTTTTTTGTGTTGGAGCGTGTTTTGTGTGTTGGAGCGTTGAGAAGGCTGGCTATGCATGCTATAAACATGGGGAAACGGAACCAACGCCGCCGCGCATACCACCACCAACCGCGCCCGCTCGTTCGGTGGCGGTGGTGGGTCGATTTATTGCTTAAGGTTATTCTATTGTTTTATTTTTAATTTCAGAATATTTTCTCCCAACTCATGCGTCGCCTAATCTGTTCTGAAAACTGTATGTATAAGCTAACAAGAGTCAGAAAACAACAGTTTCGAACCGAGTCCTTTCTATCTATCTCGTGTAAATTCATTAATAGTTGTAAACCTGCACGTGGATTTTATCCCAACACCAAACCCAGCCCGAGCCCGAGCCCGAAGCCGACCCACCCCGTTGTTGTTCCTATATCACCATACTACCTACCTAAAGCAACATAATTAAAAATTTTCGATGAAACACATTTTTAGGAATTTTTTTTACAGTAAAAATAGACGACATCTTTCCACGATAATATTTACTGCAGATGAACCTGATTATTTCCATTATACACAAAATATAGTCCAATCTTTTTACCTCTATTTTTTTTATTAAAAAATTCAAACATCTGAAATCAAAACACAACCAAGAGTAATTATTTTTTCCTCACTTGATCATATATTTTTGTTGTATTTTTTTTATTACTTGCCACTCCAGATATCCTATGAGGCCAAAATTGCAGTCATTATTCTCGCACTGATTCCACTAAATATCTTATAGACTTTTCACAACTTAATACAATTTTTCCTAAAAATTCAAACAAGACTGTCAATCACTACTAGAGGTTGTCAGCCTAAACATCTGAACTCATTATGTCCAAACTAAAATTTGTAATGATAAACACACTATTTCCCAACTTTGCAAAGATATATATATGCAAAACCCAATCTATAATGAGGATTGGACAGAAAGAAAATTGAACAAAGCACTAGAGATATTATCTTACCAAGTCTTAATTTGCTAAATGGTAATATGGAAGAAGATATCAGGGGTCCAACTCAGCAATACAGTTGCAGCACCATGAGGGGAATTTCTTGCTGTGAAAGAGTGACAAACTAGATAAATTAGACCAGTCAAGAACAACTAGGACGCAACCACAAAAAATTGTCATACTCATGAAAACCACCAAGTATGAATGAAACACATCAAGCTACTGCTGCTAAACACGACCTAATGGATAGTTTACGGTGTCAAAGGACTCCTTACAAATGCACAATGGAAAGACAGGAGATGTTTACAAAACCTGCACAATAACAAACCATTTACAAGTTTGGGACCAAGACAAGGGTGTCCGAGAAAAAAGGATCCATGATGACTGACAATAGGACCATCACATGGAGACCCAATGTACATTATCAATGTTCTGTGCCACGACCAGCAAACCTGACTAGACTGCAGATCCTAAACTCCTATAATGGGTGATCAATTAGCAGAAAATTCAGTGAACAACAAACATTTTCACAAAAGCTACAGTGTTCAGCATGCAAGTTAAACATCTAACCTCTACAGTATGTATGCATGGTAAGGAGGTCATCATGTTATAAGAAAGTTCCATATCTTCTCCTTGACAGACAGACCACTGCCATCATCCTCGTCTTCTAATTCATCGAGCACTTCATTGTACCTATCTTGCTCTTTAAGCTTGTCATTATCCTCGACAATAAGATCACTCGCAGACTGACATGAAAGATCACATGCAAGGGTGAGAATTGACAAGAAAATAATGCTTAAATCAAATAGCATAACTTCACATAGAACTAGTAATTTATATGATATGTCAACTTCAACACAGCAAACAGATGGTCACATCAAACTTAACAAAAACCTTTGAACAATTAGGAAAACACCATTCATCACGCTCTGCAACTTGATTTATATCAAGAACATTAATCACCAAAATGAACAGAATATGTACTTTGTAGAATAAAATATATTATGAACTTATTTAAGTACACGAAACATGGTGTAGCAACAAAAGAATGTTTATGAACTTATAACTCTTTAGAGGATTCAAGTAATCCAGTCTGCATCTGATTTTACAGAAACAGTGAGATGTTAACATTAAAGCATATACCATCCTTCTAAAGCTTGACCCTAGTTACTCTATATTCATAAAAAAAATATTGTTTATCTTAAATAATAAATTCAATATCATCTTCTTGATTTTATTTTGCATGGCAGATTATAAATTATTCAGAAGCAATGTTAAAACTTCAGATATGGTGGTCAAGCATATCAGATTTCCATAAGAAGAGAACTCATGAACCTTGGAAAGACCCAACTAAAGAAACCAAATACTAAGAACCAAACTTACCACACTAGTCTCCTGGGATGGTTTTCTGGCTATGTGCTCTTTGTCGAATACTTGTTTATCTTTCATAGAAATTTCATTAGCATCTGAACTAGTTGCTGCTCCAACACCAGCAAGTGGAGAATGCTCAAATTTGCAGAAATTTCCATTTTCGACAATGTCAAAATTTGACACCGCCAATTTGTGTTGTGAAGATTCGATTGGTTCTGCATTTGGAACCACCATATTCTCATGTTGCTGATCCTTGAAGGCTACCGCATGCAGCTGTTCACATCCTGAAGTCTGGTTGCGCAATACTGGTTCGCATTCGTCATCTATGTTTGGCTGTTGCTCAGCCAAACTTTCAATAGAAAAAGAACAAAGTGAGAGAATGATAAAAAAAACTATTTGTAGCTTAATAACAAATTAGCAAATCTGTTTAACCTATGTCTATGTTTAATCACCAAAAGCGAAAAAGTAAGCAAAAAAGGAAGACATACCCATTAGAAGAGTCTCCTTCAACATCAGAATTTCCATTTTGCCGAGGCCTTTTCTGCTGCTTCGGGTTTGGTTCCGAGTCCATATCAGCATGATCATGGGATAACATGTCATTTGACCTCTTTCTGCGTGATATCCATGAATTG